GGACCGCGAAAATAAATACATTCATAATTTTTTCGAAGAATAATAAAAATATGGCGATAATGCTAAATTAAGTTCTATTAATTCTTTAATCATCTTTCTTAATCATCTTTTTTTTTTTTTATTTTTATAAAAATTATATATATTTTAAAAATTTTAATAAAAAATAATAACATTATTTAAAAAATATATCTATAAATCAATATATAAAATAAGAGAAATCAATCAATATATACTATAGTCATTGTCAAGTAAGTAAATTAACATGAAGTATAATTTTTTATTATATAAATTTAAATTCAATTATTTGGACTACCATAAAAATAAAATAATGTTATGTGACTAAAATATAACATATCGTAGGCCGCATGAGGCCCATAGACCATGCTATGAACAGCCCTGTCTCATACAGTGACAACAGTTGTGAGACGGTTTTCGATACAAGATGACTGATTAATAAAAATACAATTAAAATATATAGGCATTAATCACTTAAGTTAATAAATAAACAAATGAGTAACACTTTTAAAGTCTTCGATTTATAGAAATCCCAGTTTTAATACTTGCTCTCAATATTCACCCTAGAAAGCAAATACTAGAGTGTGATTAAGATATTCTGCTTTTTTACTCTCAACATATTTTATTGACTTGGCAAAGTCTATTCATAGAAACTATTTAAAATAATTGTGTATATTTTATATATATATACATATTTCTTTTTTTGGTTTTATTAGTAGTAGTAGTACCTTTTCCTCACCTCTTGGGTTAAAATATATTTCCTACCTAAAGACTTAAAGAATATTTCTTTATACCTATGTGCATATGGGTATGCAGATGTACGTACAGAAAGTGGAACGTGTACACGGTGCGTGCCAGAATTATTTCAAGCGATAAATTTAATATATTTAAATACCTCTAAGCTTATATTTTCATCCTTTTGAAATCCTTTTACATGTTCTCTGACTTGTGCGTGTATGCATTGATATGTGCGTGTTAATTACAACAGAAATGGCGTTAAGCCTCTTCTGCATTTCATCATACCTTCAATGCTTCATTTCGGAACGTGATATCCTGCGTAACTCCTTCTTTTGCATTTATTTCAAGTTTTATTGTTGTAATTATTATTATTTTTTCTCAACAATTTTTTCTTAATTCAGTATATTCCTTTCTTCCATCCAACTTAGTTGTTGTGTTCATGTTCGGCTTTACTCTCGTTTAGTAATAACTTGAAGGACAACTGTCAAATGAAAAACTGCTACGGCTAAAGCGTAAACACTAATATCCTTTCGAATCAGGCTAAGCAAAACTATTTCAACAAAAACGTAAGTTCTAATGAAGTGAAAATATGGAGGGAATAGGTGTACTGATGTAGTGTGCAAGCAAAAAAAAAAACCGGGGTAAAAAATAATGTATATGTCACAATCATTTTGATGGAATAAAAATAACCTTCTAAATCAATTTATTCGTACTTGAGATATGAACCCACTAAAACTAACCCTTAGGAACGCAAAATGTACAAATTTTAGTCAATGGCATTAAAACACTGCATGCTTCTTTTTGGAACAACCGGAGAAGTATGGCTAGTGGAATAGACTTTGTTGACTCATGTTAAAAATTAAATATTAAATATGATTTAATTGTGTCTATAGGTCTACAAATTACGTCTATAAAAATTTCTTTACGGATTTGGCTGAAATTTAAAACAAAATAAATCACACGTACGCCGAAAAAAACATTTTTAATTTTTTGCCAGTTGATACGGATTAATGGAGTTTTGAAAATTTATATGTAAGAAATTTCTTAACTGGTCACAAAATTTTCATAAGTTTATTTCAATTATCTTTCAAAAGTCGAGAACATTATTATTAAAAATAATAATATATAAAGATCCGTGAAACCTTATTAAACACAAACATGAGTTAACTCAAAAATAGTCTTATACATGTTCCATTTCTTCTTCGACGTCTCTCCGAGGTGCCGTTGTTGTTGCAAGCCACTGTTATTAATCCGATTTATGTTCATCTGCATTTTTTTCCAACTCTCTTTCATACAACTCCGAATGGTATCTTATACCATTTAAATGTTTATATCGTTTGTTGCACCCTGGAATGGGACAAGGAAATGGCTTCAATTGCGAGTGATCTGCCCTTAGAACCGAATTTTGGACAATTTCATCCGGAGTCAAATTACTCAAGGCAATATGGGTACTTTCGTTAAATGTTGGAGGAGGTGATGCAGAGGTTGTTTGTGTTGGAACATCACTTGTCTTTGCCATGGATGGCTCAACATTACGGTTAATAGATGAGATTCTCTTCTTTGAGAATGAGATTTTAGAACTGTTACTTTTTCGCTTTACCGCCGATGATGATGATGGAATGTCATCGTTCTCAAATGATTCAGCATCTTGATTACCAACTATTTTCATTGAATGCATCTTGGGAATTAAACCGCGCTTTGCTTGTGCAACGACCGACTGAAACGGTGGTGGAGAATTATTGCTGCTTGCCGAAAATATTGGTACCTGAAATGGTGTATTTGCGTTACTATTAACAGTAGCAGGTGCTAACACAGACTGTGATGATGGACCAGCACCATCATATCCATTTGCATTCAACAACTGAATTGGAGACTCACAATTATTGAAGTTTACTGAAGCCACGGATGGGTGGAGACGTGGTCCGTTGTTGATGCGATGAACCGGAGGACCTATTGATTAAATCACAGAAAAATGCAAATTTTGAGGTAGATTAAAATCGAAAAGCAATACACTTACGCATCATCACGTCGTGGATATTGTTAGGCAATATTTTGCTCATAGGCACCATGGTTTCAATTCCAGAGACTTCTTCACTGTCATCCATTACAATATGCACACGCTCTACATGCTGAATCAATTCAGCCAGACTACCGAACTTTTCACCACAACCGCTGTATTGACATTTGTTGTTAAAAAAGAAAGCCATTGTTTTTATATATAAAATCGAGATACGTTTGTCTATTAATATTAAATAAATTGGTATATATTCGCGTTTAATGGAAGCTGTAGATTTTTTTTAGCTTCGCTTAGTTGAAACAATAAGAACAAATGATAAAATTGTCAAAATGAAGACGAAGGAACGATTTATATTGGAACATTGAGAGTTGCTATGGCGACAACGTTAACTGTACCATCTGCCAAAAACGAATGCTTCAATCGCCAAAATTACAACGAAGGAACGGTGTAGAGAATTAAGACATGCAGAGTTGCCATAATCGAAAGGTTCACAAATATAATTGGATAAGTTTTTTCTAATTAAAATTTTTATTAATGCGCTTTGTTTTTATCTTGCGATGTTTGTGTGTAGTGCGCACAGATCTGAGGCGCTGCACCGTTCCTTCGTCGTTAACGTTGTTGCCAGAGCAACTTTCAATATTCCAATATAAATCATTCCTTCGTCTTCATTTTGACAACTATACTATTCGTTTTTAGTAATTCCGGTATAACGAAGACAAAAAAATCAAAAGCTTCCATAAGTGTGTGGGGATCTATCTTATAAATTCGACGCCTTGCCAATGCTTATGGCCCAGAGCTGCGCTGTTCTGGCGGCGCTTGTGCCGGAGGGCTGGTCTGGCCAGCGGCTATTTGCCACATGCGCGGCTTTTCTGTTTGCGGTCATGTGTTTTTATCAGCCTGCGCTGAACACATTTCTGGCCCTCGCCGTGCTGCTGTTTGTGTGTGACACCTGTGAGGGGCGGGATCAGGCGGCATGGCGGGCGCTGGGCCTGCGGGTGGCCGCACTGGGCGTAACCTATGGTGTGTATCACTTTGTGATTATCCGCCATTTTGTGCATGGCTCCTACGCTGGCCCCCATAGCGGGACCATGAGCTCATGATGTTCTGTCGGGAGGCTGTGGAAAACCTGCACAGGCGCGCACCCTGCTGCCTCCTCCTGCATGGCGGGCCGGGCGTTGTTCTGGGCCTGTTTTATGCGCTCGGGGCGGCGTTTGTGTGGTCTGGTGTGCTGCCAGCCCTGCGCCGGGCAGACAAAGTTGCAAAGCTGAACGCGCTGGCACTGGTGAGCGTGCCATTTCTCCTTGTGCTGCTGGTGCCGGGGATTGTGCTGATTCTGGCGGATACGGTCATTGCGCCACGGATTTTTATGTCCTTTTCCGCCTGCGTTATTCTGGCCAATCTGTTTTTTCTACAGACGGCTGTGGGCCAGAAACTCCGCTGGCTGGCGGTTGTGCCGCTCCTGTATTTTTATGTGGTGTCCTTTGATTTTGGAAACGCCATGCAGGCCCAGGAGCAGTTTGAAAAGGAACAGTGGAACGACTGCCACATCGAATGAAGCCGTTTCCCGCCCGGAATGATCTGTTCCTTACGGCACGGAAGCAGAGGCCCCCATTGTGCGGAACGCCATTACCGCCCTGCCCTATCTGGCGGACGTGCTGCCGCGCCAGCAAATGAGTGACGATGCGTTTTTTGGCTATATCCGCCTGCGGCTGGTGGGCATAGACAGCCGGGAACATACGCCTGCGGAATGGGAAACGGCACACAGCCTGCTGAAGGCCAGCCACCTGCTGCATGAAACACCCCGCTTTGCGGTGTACCGGGACGGGCACAGGTTTGCCTCACGCCTGACGGGGCTGTGACGCACGGAGCGTACCGCGAGCCAAAGGCTCTTGCGCCCCGCCGGAGGATATGCCAGCTTTTTTATTACGGTTTGTCAGTGAGTCGTTTGCCGGAAAAGGATCTGGAAAATGCGTACACGGTGCAAAGCAAAAGCTCTTGAAAACAAGTCTTTGCAGACCCTGCTTCTCATTCCCTTCGCGCCGTTGCTTATGCTGGCTGTCTCAAATCTTCCGGTCTCAGATTTTGAAAAAGGTCTGCTTGATGGTGGTCTGGCAGGGATGCA